TTCAACTTAAGATTCAGAAGTCTACACTTCCCACACCGATAATTGTGCTTGAATTGTCTGTGCAAGATGACCAAATGGGCATAAAAACCTGAGAAAGTAGCACGTACCAACGTTTGATGATGCGTTCCAACGAGCCATTCGTATCATGGACATACATTCGACAATATTACGCACGGTCACATCACAGAGATTATGTGCCAGGTTGAGTTGTTTAACCTCTTTCATTCGACGCCGATGAGTACGGTAGGGAGCTTGTTGACTGAATTGTTGCTGTCAGTGAAGAAAAGTGCGTACAGGGGGAGGGGGGAACCGAAGAGGCAAACAGGCAGAACAGGGGGGGGGATTCAATAAAGCGAGTTCCATAGGAGGAGGAAGAAAAATAAATCAGCAAAAATGGACGGGATCCCAATACAGATTTGAAAAATCTTGGAATGTCAAACATTTTACAAACAGCGGAGAAAGAAAGTGAAGGATCCGAGGGANAGCGTAGACAGTAGGCTCGAACAGACAACGAACAAAAAGAAAAAGAGAGAATAAATTAAAAAGACCATTCACGCCGTCCGTACGATTAGTCGGACATTAGGTTGTTGAAGTAAATAGGGTAACAAACAACCTGATAACTGGTGTGTGGTGTGCGGCACATCAATAATAAGGCGTTGACTGAGCATCAACACACACGCACATATGCACAGTTTGCAACAGAGGATGAAATGCAAATTTCGATGGAAAAGCAGAAGACTGGAATGCTGAGAGCAGAGTGGAGCAGAAGATACATAAGTCATAGAGAATTAAGTAGATGCACAAACGCCACTGTTTACGACTTGCCACCATATCACTCAGTGTCTCTAATCACTGGTTACTATGATCTCAAGGTCTCTATCTAGAAAGCATAACTCGACCTAGATGATCGGGTTCGGGTTTTCATACCTTCATGCCAAATCTCAGTTCAACCACCTCTGGCTTTTTTCATCCACTACGTGCCACGACAAACACCGCCCACCGTGGCAACCTATTTAGTGACGTGTGCAACATGTGCACCATCCTTTCCGAGCATAGTTCAATGGATGAACTGAAGTTAGCGTGAAGATGGAATTTGAGAATGGTCCATGGAAATCCATGAAACGCTCCTCCTGATTTAATTCATCAATCAATGCCAACGAAAAGTGTAACATCGAAACATTTAGGGAAAACATCTATGTATATAATTATTATAAAACCAAATGTGTGAATAAGCGTCCTTTCGAAACGCAATCCTAGAATTATAAAATTAGTTCTCCGATGACAAAAACATCCTCAATTTACGATGGAAATATCCCCGAAATCAAGCCAAACAGCACATGATGGAATCAAGTTGTTCCAGAAAATTGTGTATTACATTTCTATGCGGTAATGTTGCCATGCGAAACTCCGCGTGGCAGGAGGAGGAGCTAAATCATCGGCTCAACTTTTCCTTCAGGAGGAAAACTAAACGGACCCATTTAATATAATCAACAATGCATTGTTCAACCCAACTAATACAAATAATGGCAGATCGATGCCGGTGGACTGAACGTCTTTCTTGACCCATTGGCGTAGCAAATTTTAGTGCTGTTTAAATAAAGGATACCAGAAAATTTTGTCAGGAAAACTAGGGCTCTTTTATACTTCTGTGATACGATCCTGGTTGTCACATTTAGGCTGATTAAGGGAGACTCACTAACTGAGCATAGGTAATTCTGGTGTAAACGATGTACAATGCAGATAAACTCGATTTACGTAGAAATGGAACAGATGTACATGCACAACTACATGAAACTCAGACTTGTTATCAAGTGCCTGACACTATCGATCAGGTGGGACAGAAGCTCTCTGGTTGGTAGGCCTAGAACGACTTACATAAGCTCGTCAGTCAATGTGTTCATTTCCTAAGGTCACAGTTTTGACAGTTAGTGTTTTCATCCAATAGGATCTGCAGCGGCCAACAGAGCCGTTCGAGGACTCCCATCCGGTGATATGCGNATAATGCCTTGCTTGTGACTTCAGAATTTCCCGTCTAATTGCCTCTCCAGACAGCGGTGGTGAAACACTGATAATTAGCTTGCAGTAAATTTTTTCCGCATCTAACGGACCATCGGATATATTTTCTGTTATTTCTTTATCGGTTGCGCTATTTTTATATCCTCTGTACGGGAAATTCGCCAGTTGGGTGAATAGAGCTTTTGTTTACTTGCAAAAGGGTTGGTTATTTGAAGTTGATGCTTGGTCTCGTGTACCCAATGAGGGAAGCGGAACGTGAACGGGACATCAGCTGGTCAACGGAAGATAATTTAATATTAAAGGTGGTGCATGTTACTAAGGCAATATTCGTTGGGACCATGTTATTTTCATATGTTCATCGTCGAATAAAAGACNAAGACTGAAACTGAAGCAAAATTAGCCAAAATGAATGAATTCGGCACATTCGGTTCAGAAGCCTTAAGTAAAACGTGGTACTAAATAATCCTGTTATTAGAAGAAAGAGTAGTTGCTCATTGTTTCGAAGTTTTTACCCTGAATAGGGTATTGCGACTAGACGAAACTATCTATTAGGCAAACTGATTAACCATTAAGCTTCCCACAGAACGTTTTTTGGGGTAGGCTGGCAATGATGGGCAAGTATCATGAACATGAGAGTTAACTGGGAAAAAAATACACACACGCACGCATTTGGAATTTAGGAATTCTTGAACAATTGATAACTGAACCGAATTTTACGGTTCTAATAAAAAGCATTCGGAACATACCTCGGGGAAGAGATTGCACAAATCAATGAATTGTTTGATTGCAGATATAAGGAATGGGTGCGTCGGTCCCTGACTGATAAAACCAATAAATCGGGTCAGCCATTGCATTCGATTTTGTATACCCACTTCCTGTTTGTTGTACCAGATTGCGGTCGGGAACCGGGTTCGTAAAAAGGGATAAGCAAAATATAAGGATTACCCGTGAGCGAAGAGAATGTACCCATTTAAATAACAAATTATGGATACACTATAAATTCAGATGAACAACGAATTAGGTAACGGTAGTTTTTTGAGAAAAATAAATTACTTTGTAGATATCCTCATGGTAAATCCGGTCGTTCATATCAAGAACTTAAGCTTGATTAGATATTTTGAGTAAGGCGCGCGATAAAGAAAACTTATTCATGAATGAGACGATCATTTTCTCTCTGCATTGAGTTGTGTAACTCTTCTGGATACGTTTCATCAGTGACCGGGATGAGAAATTCAAGTGGGGAAGTTTTTATGACACTTCACACAGTGGAAAACAGCAGATAAGGCGAATCTGATACCGATGAAGACCCACTGTTCAATTGGGGGACTTTCAGCCCCTCCGTTTTGTTATTCTTGTTGTTGCTTTGACAGTATGCTCAATCATAAGCCGGTGATACATAGATCCATAAACAGATTATATGGACGAGAGCTATGGGAAACCAATTAAGCTCTAATGATTAAACGTATAAATAAAAGTTATGAGGTTTGGTGAGCGGGCGGAAACGAAACTATTAGAACCGATGTCTTCAAACGCAATGCCATTATCTAAATGACTAGTTAACCCGTGGAAGTTGTATCCAACTGCGATCGTATAGCCGGAATTTAAAAGAACATTCTCGTGAATTTCAATTGTTGAAAAACAAGTTTTAAAAACGTTTCGAATCAATGTATGTAATTATTTGTGATACCTGTAAAGCAACACTTTTTATGCTTTCTTAAGTATTGATTACGAAACTTTAACTTCACGTAGCTCGCTGGTTTCAAGAAGTAGCTGGTGCGTAATAGACAGTATTTCTACCGTACCTTATTATATTATTTGACATATATTCAATAAGGTGAAACGAAAAGAGCAAGCATGAAGAATTCTCTAGTCTATGAAAGAGAATTTTGCATTTATCTAAACGTTGGTTATCTATTACAAATGAAGTACATTCATTTAGCTTCTAGAAACGAGAGATTTCAATGAATGGTGATGGGAAGAAAGTAGGCTACGAATTTAGGAAATATTACCATAAAATCACACTACTGTAATGCGTCGTGAGTAAACATATTCGTTTTTCAAAAATTATCGAAACGAAACGGCAGACAGGAAACGGACACTCGAAATTCCCGCATGGTCAAAGACGAGGTACTCAGAGATATGTGCTGCTGTTGAGATGTGAAGCATAAGACAG